TCTTTCCCCTTGATAAAATTAACCAAATATTCTCTTTGTTCCAGCTTTAAATCTTCAATCTCGGGAATCGTTACCAACACTTAATGTATATCTCTTTGCTGATTGGCTGGTGCCTGAACTCACACTTCCGGGGTTTTTGCGAACCGTCTAGTGCACAGGTGTCAAACATACGGCCCGGGGACCAGATCTGGCCCTCCAAGACCTTTAATCTGGCCCTCAGCTGATTTTCTACTAAAATATTTGAATGATATTTTCTATAAAAATATTGGTAATTTTCTGCGGTGTTTATCATAGCAGCCTCTCCAGCGCCTCTGTGCGTGGCCCCTCCCACCAGAGCAGCACAAATGAAGACTTGGCTCTTTACAAACGCTCTTAAAGGACGATCGTTTTGACTGTTGACCATGACACCCTCATCAGCAAAATGTAAAAAATGAGAAAAGTGGAGCCAAGTGCAGGATTTCCCAAGAAAAATTGACTTACTACTATTTGCATACAAGTTCATGTTAAAACATTGTGTTGAAATTGCATTTTTCTTAAAGTTTCAGGTTGTTCATGATATTATAGTATTTTGTAAAAGAAAGAGTTCATCAATTAAAAAAGATTCTGTTCTGTCTGCACAAATATTTGAACTTATTGTTATTTTTGGGGTTTATATGACATGAGTTTTCTGATCCGGCCCCTTTGGGATCAAAGTGAGTTGGATACGGCCCCCGGACCAAAATGAGTTTGACACTCCTGGTCTAGTGTATTCCGATATCTACTCGCTGGAGAGAAATGAAATTGAGCAGAGGCACTAGGTGGCGCCATCTTGGCTAATAAACATGCACAATAGGTGAGATTCTTCTGTGGTCTCAAAACTGAAAATTCCCAGGTGCTGTAAAACTTTATTGTCCTTGTTGGGAAATTTGACCTCTGCATTTGACCTACCATATTTTCTGGGCTATTAGGTGCTCTGGATTATAAGACGCACTGTCATTAAATGGTCTATTTTTTAACTTTTTTCACAAATAAACCGCACCGGACTTTAAATGAAACACAACAGTTGGATGGGTCAGTGGGACTTTGTTTGTTGTGTTCACGGTAACTCTGGGCTTTGTTCAGTTGTGGTGCGTGGGGAGGGTGCTGTCTGGAACCACTGGATTGTCGGCGTGTTCGCAGTGACTCAGAAAGGCACATTGCACTCGTTTTTCGGTTCGTTCCTCCGTTCCGTTCCTCGTCGGCGTGGAGTGATGAGTGTGTCTGCGGGTGTTTTTCGCTGCGCGGTCGCCGTCTGCTCCGTGTGTTTGCGTGCGCTGCGGGTGGTGCGGCTTTGTAGTTTACTGAAGTCGTGCTGGGACACCCGAGTGGATTCGTGTATAGGGCGCTCTGGATTGTGGGCGCGCGGTCATTTTTTGATGCGGTTAGAGGCTTAAGAACTCGCCTAATAACCCGGAAAATACGGTATTCTTCAATGTTGCCAGTGACCCATGTCCAGATCTTAGGGTACTCTTAGTTAGGACTGTCTTAGCTTGAGGATTTTAGTTATTGTGCATGGAAAAGCGGAATGCCAGAAGAAACCCACCCAGACCCAGGGAAAACATGCAAACTCCCCTTAAAAAGTGCTAGCCACCTATTTGCTAATCAACACATTTTATATAATGTTTATCTTCATAGGGGAATGTTGTGAAGTTTGGGTTTAACTTCGTATTTCCATCAAATCGTGCCACTTCCAGAATCTTACATACTATTTAAACGAAAATTAATAATACTTCCTAAATCCAGAAGAAATTGCAAATTGGACTAAATGCTAGATACATCTATTTATTTCTTTTTTTCTTTTTTTCCTCACAAGCATCACAATTGTTGATTAATACAAGAATCATATTTCAGAAACTGATTGTACAAACTGAAACTACAGGGTTAGCAGGTTTATGCGCAAGACAAAATATTTAGTTTTAGAGGAATTTATGGTAGAAAATTGCAGCTGTAGTGATTTGCTAATTGCATTCAAGATTAAACAGAATTGAATCAAATTGAAATACATTTTGTAAAGGACTATATACCTCTACTGCACATTCCTGTACGCTCTGGAGACGCTCTGTAAACCGCTGCGAACCGTGAAACTCTGCACATGCCTTGACCCTGCACCAAACCATCTCAATAATGCCATGTGAGATGTAAAAGCACTGAAATCACATCAGATCAGCGGTATTATTCGAGTCCGTATAAGGCACTGGCAGGAGGGCAGCCAGAGGAAGGCGACATGTTCTGTTTGCTGTGAAAACATGTGGCGATAAGAGAGAAGTATCTGTTTATGCAGAATTACATCATGACACCAACCAGAGCCCAGCAAATACACACCACCAGGGCCTTATTTAGCAGGAAAAGGTGCATTTTTGGAGCATTACCCAGTTTCAAATAACAATTACAAAGAACAAAAAATAAATGTTTGCAAATAGGGCTGCGTGATATGATAAAAGTAATCAAGATTTCTTTTTTTTTTTTTTTTTTGCTTCATTTTGCATGATCAAATTTTTTTCTTTTTCACTCAAACTCTTTAAATGGTTTTCTTGAACATGGTGTAACATACAGCTATATAACGCTTCACTGCGTATTAATTAAATTGATGTTATTGTTATTATGTGTTGTGCTGCCTGAAATGAATTCCCTTTTGGATAATAAAGTATGACTAATCTAAAACAGGCGATGCCATTTAACACAAAAAGTCAAATTTCCTGAGTCTGAACTCTGTTCTTAACCACATGCTTTGGATTGGCTGCAGATCTTTCATATAAACCTCGACATAAAAGACCCAAGATGATCACTGATAAATAGAAATTAATTAGACATGGCAGATTTTTATTTTTTTTTTTTGATTATTTGTCTGAATGTTAGTATAAATTTCCCCCTCAATTTTTTATTTTATTTACAACAGTATTTTTATATTTATAATGTCTTTTGACAAATTATTTTGAATATTCTATATCTATATCTATATATGGTTTGTCTGACAATGTGCAGCACACAGAGGTGGACAGTACACTTTTTAGGTTTTCAGACATCATCTTATTAATATTGAGTTTGGAGAAATAATGTGAGTAAATCTACAAGTTGACAACATGTCATGTTTTAAAGAGATTAAACCTAGTGAGTTTTCTCTAAGTCCATGCATGTGCAGACGGTCACAAGATGATGTGTTCACTGACCATCTCATTCACCCCGTTTTTCCTTTGAACTTATTTTGACACCAAGGGAGATGCTCAATACAGACTTTTATACCACAATGATAATAATACATATTTTTTTTAAGTCAGAATAAAATGTTCTTTTTAATATTTTACCCAAATGAATATTTAGTCATAGTCATATTACAAGGGTCTTTTATACTACTTCTGCTATACCTAGACCAGGGGTGTCCAAACCTTTTTCATCAAGGGCCGCATATCTAAACACAGATGAAGCAGACGGCCGATCAAGGGCCATAGACTGATGTTCAGTACAGGGAATAATTGGAATGTGTGCATATTTATCATGTTAGAATGAGCCATAAGTCTTTATTCATGCTAAGTTCCTTAAAACCACACACTGAATATTAAATATTAGCTTTATCAAGGTAGATTCTCAAAAAACCTGCCGTAAAAAAATATTTTTTAAATTGACGCAAGGTAATTTGGGCCAATTCACCTGGAAGTCTGAGGGCCAAGAAAAATTTGTCTGAGGGCCGCATTTGGCCCCCGGGCCATAGTTTGGACATGCCTGCTCTAGACCTTTCAAAAACTGTTCTGGAAAGGTGAAGTTTTATCAGTGTACTTGTGGGTACTCTGTTAGTGTTGTCATGATACTAAAATTTCAAACTCGTAATAGACTCATTTCTTAATACAGATTCCAATAATAGTAATAGATTCTGATTCCGAAGATAGTAATAATTTTAATAAAAATAAATAAATGAATTAATTAAAAAAAAATTTTAGACAGTAGAATGTAATTTTATTTATTTATTTATTTATTTATTTGAGACAGCACAATTTTTATATTAACCTTAACAGGAGGTATTATTCGATATTAAATCGTAGTACCTTTTTTTTTTTTTTAATATATTACTCTGTGGCCTTATATCCGTGTAATCCCTCTCTGGTCCAGGTAGGTTCCATAGTTTTTATAACCTGAGCCTGACTGTATGCTTTTCCTTATCAGTATCAAATATCTGTACTAGTTTTAGCATTTAGTAAGTACAAATACTTTTGACAATCCTGCTTTCAATCACAAATATATTTCACTTTTCTTTTTTCTGACATAAAACATACCCTATGTAGAATGACAATTTTTTATTACTTTAAAAAAGACAAATAATATACAAGTTGTACATTTTATAATGATGTATTTGTTATGACCCAACTCTGCCAGGAAAAGGGACGTAGCAGAAACCAAGATGGAAAAATTGTATAAATAAAGTAATAATTTAAGGTTAAATTAACAAAACATGCTAAAATATGTACCTAAAGCTTCCAAAGCAAACTAATTGTACAGAAATGAACCAAAAGGACTGCAACACAAGATTAAATTTAAAAACATACAAAGGTCATGTTTGACTTTGAGTGTCTCATACAAAGTCACATAAAATCAAGAGACGACAAAACTAGAGACATGTAAACAAAAGGCATGAGTGTCTCGAAAACCCAAAGTCATAATCACAGAAATAAACCATAGAGTGACATGAGAGACACAGAACTACGTGGCTGTTCAAGTGAAAGCCCTGAATGCATGTTGGGGATCCTCTTAAATCTTAAATAGGGGGATGCGGCTAAAGGTGAGGCAGGATTGGCCGAGTGTAGAAGTGCCCAACCAATCAGGGACCAGGACTCTCACAGCAGAAATCAGGAGGGACAGCTGAAGAAATTAAAACACACACAAAACAAGTCAGTGAACTGGAGACTTGGGGGCTGTAACATTATCTATTTTATTCTGCTGTTTTGTTTTATTAATGTGTTGACATATTGTTTGTGGTCGTCTCTCTCTGACAGTGCTATGAGCGGCACGCGCCTTGCCTCCGCCTCCTCTGCGGTCTCCACGGTGACAGGAGGCGGTCCCCATGGCAGCCAGCCCCCGGCCTTCGTCCTGCCGCCTCGAAACGTCCGGGTCGCTCTGGGAGGAGACGCCCGGCTGGAGGGCAAGGTGAGATCACAAAACATGCCCATGCAGTTCAGATTTTCTTATGTTATGAACCTATTAACTATAAAATACTGGCTTCTTTGGAAGTATGCCAAATTATAGTATCGTCTAATGTAAAAAAACAAAAAAAATACAATAAAAAAAAAAAGAATGGATGGAACAATAAAGTAATTAGGTGCCAGTAATCCCTGATGAAGGCCAGTCATGGTCGAAACATGTTGGCTCTGGCCGTCTAAATAAAGGCCTTTTAACTATACTTTTCCTCTTGCGATTTTCACTTCTTTAGGGTGCCTAGATTTAATTTGGTCTAAAATAATTAGGTGCCAGTTTCAATGCTGAAATTCTGGAGGTTCTGAGCTTTCACATGAGACATGGCTTTTCCATATATCATATTTTTTTGACTATAAGGCGCACTTAAAATCCTTGAATTTTCTCAAAAATCATTAATCCGGTGCACCTTATATATTAATTCTGGTTGTGCTTACTGACCTCGAACTGATTTTATGTGGTACACGGCACTCAAAAATCTGTTAAAATGTTTTGGTATGACTTTGGTAAACTACGAAGCCGCACCACTTGATGGATTGTTGGAGCATTAGGGCTGCTGTAGTCAGGAACCTCGCAGAGTTACCTGCGTTTGATTATCTTCCGATTCCCACTTGGACCGTGGATTTAACGTCACGTCCGAGCTTGAGGCGTATTATTATGTTTTGTGTGTCGCACTCTGAGAGTAGCGTGTAACCTCACCACAACACCAGACCCACAGGCAGTGATTGTCATTTAAACCACCAAAGTGTCCAAACACAATGAAAACACTTCATATTTACACATCACAGTGGGCGGAGCCACATTGGATTCTGACTCGGAATCCTTACTCGGTCTACTTTTTTCCGCTACCTGAGGTCTGAGTCGCGCCGTCCCAGGAAAAGGGGCGTGTCACACGTGTTGCTTGGCAACTTCCTTGTAAAACCGATTTGGAAGGGTAATGCTTTTTTTTATGCAAATGGGCCATGTGTTTTTAAGTTTCATTACTGTAAAAACATAAACTGCATTAAACACATTATTACTCCTCCTCATAGGAAATAAAAAAACAAACTTAAATTATCCACCCACATTCACAATACACATTCACCAAGACAGGGAGGGTGAATTACACTACGATCGTCCGTTTGTTTTGCTTAATGCTCCTTATTGTCCAAAAAATACCGTATTTTCCGGGCTATTAGGCGCTCTGGATTATAAGACGCACTGTTATTAAATTGTCTATTTTCAAACTTTTTTCACAAATAAACCTCACCGGACTTTAAACAAAACACAACAGTTGGATGGGTCAGTGGGACTTTGTTTGTGGCGTTCAGGGTGACTCTGGGCTTTGTTCAGTTGTGGCGTGTAGGGAGGGTGCTGTCTGGAACCGCTGGATTGTCGGCGTGTTCACAGTGACTCAGTTGTCCAGTTGTGTCTAGAAGCGGCACATTGCACTCGCTTTTTTCGGTTCGTTCCTCCTTTCCGTTCCTCGTCGGCGTGGAGTGATGAGTGTGTCTGTGGGTGTTTTTTGCTGCGTGGTTGCTGTCTGCTCCGTGTGTGTTTATGTGTTCTGCAGGTTGTGCGGCTTTGTAGTTTACTGAAGTCATGCTGGGACACTCGAGTGGATTTGTGTATGGGGCGCTCTGGATTGTGGGGCGTTCGGTCGTTTTTTGATGGGGTTTGAGGCTTAAGAGCGTGTCTAATAGCTCGGAAAATACTGTGCAGCACTGAGAATGAAAAAAAAAAAAGTAGGTTTCGTCTGAAAGAGTGCAGGCTCTTGACGGTCCCTTTAACCAGTGAAGTCTTGTAGCTACATGTCAGATTGATGATGGACGTTGATAATCTAAGCAGAACAGAATTTCTCAGTTTCATAGCAGAGTCACGCAGGGGCCCATCAAAGCTGAAAACATCCTTATTTCCAGTATCGGTTGCCTTGAATATTTCGCTTGGTCGAAGCTGGAGCAGATACAGAGACGGTGAACGCAGGATTAACTTAAACTCAGATCTTGTTGGCAGCTGTGTTCTGATGAGAAGCAGTGGACCACAGATCAGGCTAACACAAAACATGGACACACTCAGGAATTCACACAAGCGCTTTAGGGGTGCTCAGGAGGTGTTCCCTTTCTCCCACGCACCCCGAACGCACCATCTGTACCTTCTTAAGCACATTCCCTCAAATAAAAAGGGATTTGGAGAGGAGCTGTAGTAAATCAGATGTGATATTTTTATTAGAACTGAGAAATATTTCTGTAATTAAAGGTGCATTATGTCACTTTTCTGGTTCCATGGCCCACCATCTGCTCTTCTCCTGCATGAAACTGCTTTGCCTGGAATCTTGGATGTATTCAATTGCAGTTTTTTTTATTCCTTGGGACCTGATGGTTTCCATAGCAATTTAATTCTATACTGTAGAACATTCCTAGCCAGGCTGGTGCCACCTAGTGCCTCTACTCAATTTAATTTCTCTCCAGTGACTAGGTCAAGAATCGGAATACACTAGACCAGGGGTGTCCAAACTTTTTTCATCAAGGGCCACATGTCTAAACACAGACGAAGCAGAGGGCCGATCAAGGGCTGTATACTGGTGCTCATAACAGTGAATAATTAAAATATCTGCATGTTTAACACGTTAAAATGAGCCATCAGTCTTTATACACACTAAGATCCTCAAAACTACACACTAAATATTAAATATTGGCTTTATCAAGGTAGATTTTCAAAAAACTTGCAATAAAAAGTAAATTTTTCGTTGATGCACGGTAATTTGGGCCAATTCTCCTGGACTCCTGAGGGCCAAGAAAAATTTGTCTGAGGGCCGCATTTGGCCCCCAGGCCATAGTATGGACATGCCTGCACTAGACGTTTGCAAGAACCCCAGAAGTTGTAGGCCGTGCACTGGCCAATCAGCGAAGAGCTGTGAAGCAGTGACGTCAAACTCAAGCGCCTGTCTGTGTCCCTTTTGTTGAACAGCACAACAGTAAACAAAGCATCAAGATGGATGTAGATGAAGCCAGACATTCTGTGTTGGCAACAATTCCCGAGATCAAGGATTTAAAGCCGGAACAAAGAGAATGTTTGGTGAATTTTATCAAGGGGAAAAACGTTATTGTCCTTCTTCCTAAGGGATTTGTTGCATTATGTACATCACGACCAAATAGGAGCGGTATGTTAAATAAAAAAAAAGTACCTGCCTACCATCGAGCGAATTAATCCTAAAGCTGCGAAGTCAGACGGTTTCCACGAAGTGAAACCGGATGATGAATCTGGCTAGAACATTCTAGGCAAAGCAATAATATCTCCATGGAGTCAAGTAGCAGTCCTACAAGCCATTATGATAAATATTCAATCCAACAAACAATGTTTAGTTATTAAAGTAAAAAAAAAAAAAAACATTTAAAGTATTGCTATAGTATTTCTCAGTATAACTCTATTGTAGTTAAAATACTATGAAAAATGTTCAGGGATTTGAATGGTCTGGAATTACTTAAGGAAGATTATCGTGCTTTTGTTTGCTTTTGTTTGCTATAATCCATGACACCCGTGGATCATTATGTTGTGTTTTGGACAGTTTTAATAACAATACTGATCTAAAAATGACTTAATTGTAGAAATAAATCTGCTGATTTCCGAGCAGGAAAACTGTGGAGGTCAATGAGGTATTAAGAGCCGATTCCCATCTGCCTTTTTACGCTACATCGCCATAAACGTCTCTTATGGATAGCTGCACATCACTCTAGCAAGTAGTTTTTTCTTTATTTTTTTTAAATTTGTGCCAAAATAGCTACGCAATGCTGCCAAATCTTGTGTGTATCACTGATTTAAACAAATAAAATTGGAGAACGAAGTGAGTACAGAGCAGTGGAGGGAGTTTGGAGCCCTAAACAGTTCATTTTGCACAATACTATGTTTCCTCATATAATATCCTCTTCCAACAGCAAACGATCTCATAAATCATGCTAACCTTGTAGTTTACATTTATACACAAATGTTCTGAAATACCTGGGATTCTTGTATTAGTTTAGCAGTTAAGATTTATGTCTGCTTTCAAATATTTATAATCCTTGATATGTTTAAAATGTGCGCCATGAACTGAATCCTGAACTTTTGCAGTAGTTCCCAAAGTCTGCAAAGCGTTTTTTCGGAGATTGTACAGGGTCTCCCAATAATAATGCATACTCAGTTCAAAACTATAATGTTGGGCTGGATTAAGGTAGTAAATTAAGCAAATAAATGATTTCAAACTCCATTTTCTTTAACTCTTGTTGTGTGGACAATCTTTGCAGTGCTTCTGAGGCCCCAAACTCAACTTTGCGAATTCCTGATCTTAAGTTATTTCTCATTTACTTTATGCATTCTGAGCATCCTAATTATTTACCGTAACGAGTTTATACGCACTTTTCACAACTCTTAGAACACTTGCTGATAAAAACGACATGATATTTTATCGGAAGAGTCTTTTGTTTAGATGGTGACTGCGTTTATGGGGCTTGAAAATGCAAAAATCTGAAATCGCCCTCCAGAATGGAAAAGTTGAATACGCTCGACCGTTGCGTACACTGCCCAAGACGCAAAACTCTGGTCAGAACTGCTCACGTCACGTACACATTTACGTCACATACATACAGTACACAGAAACAAACATGTCGGATGGCATGCATACCCAATCGAATTCCACACACTTTTGCATTACCGTCTGAACGCAGATTTACTCCCGAAAACGCTCGTCTAAACGCAGAATAAAAAGTGAAAACGTGACGCCACTTTTGCGTCTTCTGTTCAGACCCTCGTCATATAAACGTAGCCTTACAAAGCAGACTTTTACCCTGATAGTAAATGTAAAAACACCCAGCATGCTTAAGCGTACTTCCTGATTTCTGAACAATGAATTGCTTTCAGATTAGATCCAGACATGACACAGCTGACTTTTTTGACCTCAAGAGCTGCTTAAGCAATATATCTGTACTGGGACAAGACAAATT